TTTGTAATAATCTTTCCTTTTTCATCTCTAATTTTATTAATTTGGGTCTTTTTTTGTTAGTTTACCTGAGAGTTTGTCAATTTATTTTTTTCAAAGAACCATTCATTGACTTACTGATTCTATGTGGTGTCCTTTAGCCTCCTGATCTCTTTATTTCTTACTATCTACTTTGGGGTTTTGAATTTTTCTTGTTTTCTAGGACCTTGAGGTGCATCATTAGGTTATTTGAGATCTTTTGCCATTTGTTTTGAGACAGGATCTTGTTATGTCTCTGGCCTTGAACTTGCTGGCCTGGAACTCACAGAGATCTTCCAGCCTCTGCCTCCCGAGTGCTGGGACTAAAGGTGTGTGCCACCATGCCCAGCCTTAATAGTACTCTTAAAAATATAGTTTGATTCTTCTTTTGAGACAGGGTCTCCCTGTAAACCGCCCCCCCCCATTGGCCTGGAACTTGATATGTATACCAGGCTAGCCTCAATCTCAGAGATCCAGGTGCCTCTGCCTCCCAAGTCTTGGGATTAAAGGTGTGCACCTCTATGCCCTGAAGAAATATGGTTCTTTATATTGAATTTATAAATAGTTCATAGACGAAACTCTAAATTGCATTCAGCATTTTGCTGACAGCTGTTCAGTTAACGTGTATTTATTTAGTGCTGATCAGCAAAAGAAATGTCCTGAGTCATATCCTCAAATTCTTGATGGAACTGGAGCTGCCATTACCAAGAACTAACAAATGGGCTAGAGGTGTATAGCACAGTCACAGAGTGCTTATCCAGCGTGTGTGAGCTGGAATTCCATCTCCAACACTACGAAAAGAAAAAAGAATTTACAAGTGTGGTAGAGTATGGTGGGCATAGTACATTTGTGGGAAAATTTTTTGAGGGCTAAGGCTGTGGGAAAGGCTTGCGTAGGAAGTAGCACTTGAAATGGACAAGAAAAGGCTCTTAGGATGGCAAGCACTGAGAAGACATTACAGGGTAGCTGGCTCAGCACACATAAAATCCAGGGATTTTTTTTTGAGACAGGATCTCCCTGTAGCTCCAGCTGGCCTGGAACTTGCTATGTAGACCATGCTAGTCTCAAACTCAGAGATCTGCCTGCCTCTGCCTCCCAAGTGCTGGGGTTAGAGGTGTGCACCACCAATATATGTGGGTATGTGCACATGAGTGTAGGTGCCTGCACAGGCCAGAGGCATCGGATCACCCTGGAAGTAAGTTAGGCAGTTGTGAGCCTCCTGGCATGAGTGCTAGGAGTTGAACTCTGGTCCCCTGGAAGAACAGCAAGTCCTTTGAACCACTGAGCCATTTCTCCTGCCCCAAAATCCAGGGATTTTTTTCTCCCCAGTGTTATGCTGTACCTGAGTTGTTTCAGCCATTTTGGTTGGCAAACATGCCTTTGTATATTTCCTATTGTTTTGGGGGGTTTGTTTGTTTTTAAATTTTAGTTATTGTGTGTTTGTGTGGTGTACATTGGGGAGGCCAAAGGATAGCTTTGTAGAGTTCATATTCTACCTTTACATAGGTTTCAGGGATCAAACACTGATCTTCCTGATTGCACAGCAAGAGCCTTTGCCTGTTGTGCCATCTCGCTGTTTAACTTCATATTGGAGCTATTGCTTTTCATTTCAGGCAATGATGAGGTAAAACGAGGTGTCTTGCTGATGCTGTTTGGTGGTGTTCCAAAGACAACAGGGGAAGGGACCTCTCTTCGAGGAGACATAAATGTTTGCATTGTTGGAGACCCAAGTACAGCTAAGAGCCAATTTCTCAAGTAAGTATCTGCCTGAGGTAGAACAGCAGGAAAAGCAATGTGTGTACCTTAGAGTACAAGGAGTGCAAATTGACTGTTTTATTTATATATATAAAAAAAAAATATATATATATATATGATTTTTCACAGATTAATTACTTTTAGATTATTTTTATTATTATGTGTATGAGTGTTTTTGCCTGCATATATGTAGGTGCACCACATATATACAGTGCCCACAGAGGCCAGAAGAGAGCATCAGATCCCTTGAAACTGGAGTTAGGGAAGATTATTAGCCATCTTGTGAGTGCTGGGGATTGAATCCCAGTCCTGCAAGAGCGGGCAGTGCTTTTATCAACACTGAGCTATCTCTCCAGCCCCACAGCATTAAATTTTTTAAATATGCTAGCCTTACTATGAGCTTTAGCAATTGCCTTGTTTTTACAAGCTATAAGTTCTTAGTTTGAAATTTTAAACATTTGGGACTGGAAATAAAAGCAGTTAGTGGTAGAACACTTGCTATGTGTTCTTTTTGCTGTAATTGTGTTGTAGCTTTATCCTACTGATACATAGCCTTTCTTCAGGGAGACAGACTTCTCTGAGCCTCAGAATTTGCTCAACTTTTTATATTGTTTTATTTTGTTTGATAGAGTCTTGCTGGGTAGCCCAGGCTGGCCTGAAGCTTTGCATTCTCCTTTCTCAGCCTCCCAAATGCTATGATTACAACCATGTATCACCATTACCAGAATGACACTGTGCATGAGTATTAAAACTCATGCATTTGCCTAAAAAGCATTAAGTTGCTTTCCTGTATTAGTTTAGGCAATTCAGAGCACAATACTCTTCTGAAACATTTTGGTTATTTGTTTTTTTGAGACAGGGTCTAGTTGGGTAAGCCTGTGCTGGCCTTAAACCTCATGACTTGGTCTCTGTTGCTGACTTTCCTTCTGGGAGGCGCAAAGGAAGTCCAGCCCCTCCTCACTCTGTCCTTACTACAAACCAAGGTCCCATTTCGCCAAACTCCAGTTTGGGAAACTAAAGTCTTATTTGGGTTTACGTAGAGAACAGTGGGTGAGGAGTATGGGTACTCCCCTCCCTAAGGCTGCACTGGAAAGTCACCATCCAAGCATGGTGACTTTCCAGCAGCCATACAAAAATGGTGAGCAAGTGTCTCCCCACGGGCTTCCTCAGTTTAGGTATTCTTATCCCTTCCGTTATGCCACTAGGGCCAACAGTTGGTTTGGGAGGTGCAGCTGACTCTCCCAGCCCCTCCTTTCTTTCTGGACATAAGCAGTCAGGTTTGTGATAATCCTAAGCAAGCAGGTGCAACCAAGCTTGGGAGTAAGGTGTCTATCCATAGGTTAATATTCAGAGGACAAGCATATGTTACTCTCCTAAATCCTGGGATTACAAGCATATGTCACTGTCTCCAGCTTAGAACATTTTTTTATGAGTTTTTTGTTTAAATTTGAGTTTTATGATTAAATAAATCCTTCAAGTATATCACAGACTGGGGTTTTATTTTTAGATGTGAAAGTAATATATTAAAAAGGATGCTGGGTGTGGTGTCACCTGCCTGTAATCTCAATATGCAGAAATAGGCATATATCTCTGAGTTCAGGCCAGGGCTACATAGTGAAGCCTGCCTTTTTTTTTTTTTTTTTTTTTTTTTTTTTTTTTTTAATTTATTTTTTTTTTTTTTCTTTTTTTTTAAACTTGCTTTCTTTTGATTTACTTTGTTCATCTTGCCAAATAAATGACAGTGTTCCCTGTGATGAAAATATTGTATTTTTCATGATTTTCTTAGCCTTTTTTTTCCCTGTATGGGTTCCAGGTCAAAAGGCTTGGCGGTAAATTCCCTTACCTAGTGAGTGCTTTTAGCATCTTTATTGCATTGTAACTTACACATCATAAAATTCATCCCTTGCCAGGCGTGGTGGCACACGCCTTTAATCCCAGCACTCAGGAGGCAGAGGCAGGCGGATCTCTGTGAGTTTAAGGCCAGCCTGGTCTACATAGTGACTCCAGGGCAGCTGGGGCTACAGAGAAACCCTGTCTCAAAAAGACAAAAAAATAAATAAATAAATCCCTTTTAAGTGTGCAGTTCAGTGCTTCTGACCATCATTGAGCTAATTTTAGAACAGTGTCTTTACTCAGAAAAAAACCCTGTACCTGCTCCCACCTCTAGAAGGGAACAGTACACTGCACTGTCTCAATCTACACATTTTTTAGAATTGAATCATATATAATCTTCAGTGATGAGTTTGGATTAGCATGAAATTTTTGAGGTTTTGCCATGTTGGAGCCTGCTGTGGTATTTTGTTTCCTTCTGTTGCTGAATAATACACCATATGGTGTTATTCAGCTTCCATCTCTGAGTTAAATACCTGAGATTAAACAACTTGAAGGAAGAATTTACTTTTGACTCACAGTTCTTGTCTATAACTAGCTCCATTGTTTCTGGGGCAGCTGGGAAGCTGGAGACTGATGAAGCAGAACTGCTCACCTCATAGCAGCTAGAAACAAGGATAGAAAGACAGTGTCTAGGGTCACATGAACCTTCCCAGGCAAACCCATGAAGCCACAGTTCTCCACTTATAATTTCTAGCAAACACCATTCTACTTTCTGTTTATGAGTTGGACTACCTAGATAACTCATAAGTGGAATCACACAGCTTTAATCCTTCTGTCTAGTTTATGTGCTTAGTGTCATACCTGGAAGGTTCATCATGCAGAGTGTGTGCTGATCAGACTAAATAGTGTTCTGTTTTATGTGTGTGCCACATTGTGCTTTACCCATCATCCATTGATGGACAATTTGGTTGTTTCTATCCTCTCCTTTTCTAATAATGTGTTTATTAGTTACTTTTAAAATTTTTTTTACCATGATCAAGGCAACTTATAAAAGAGTTTATACAGTTGTAGAGGGATAGGAGTCCATCATGGTAGGGTGGCATGGCAGCAGAGGCTGCTGAAGCAGAAAGCCGAGTGCTCACATCCTCAATCACTTACAGGAAGCAGAGCTTAGCAGGTAAGTCCATTCTGGTAAGAGCAATATAGTTCCAGGGGGAACAAGGTCTTAAACAGCAACTGCGGTAGAGGCCATTCCTGTGATATTTGGTAAAGAATCTGGTTACCTTCTGCTGGACATCTAAGATAAATTATAAAGTAATAGACTCATTTCTTTGGCTGAGGAAATTTCAAGACAGCTAACATTGAATCTGTTGCTAATGATGAATTATTAATGTCATTATTGGTAAATTTGCAAATTTACAATGAAAAAGAGCAAGTAGGATAGAAATATAAAATGTAAAATTTGGAGAGAAAAAGAACATTAGGAAGCTTAAAGTTGTAGCTTAGGTGAGTGTTAGAAGAGAGACTCCCCTTTTTAAGGAGATTAGCACCCTTCAGGAAGAGCCTTCTGCTATACAATGGAATAAGTGCCCTCATGACAGGATCCCACCCAGCTAAGTTTCTAACTAGTATAGGGAGAAAGCCTAAGGGGTTTTCTGCTCTTAGAAAACCATCACACACAAAAGCTGGTTCAAATATGATTGAAATAGGACAAGGTCCATCTTGAGCTGGCAGAGGAACTTAGACAGTGTCATCCACATAGTGCTGACTTTAAAGGCATGACAGAAGCAAGAGTAAGGGGGTAATTGATTCTTCCTCAGACATTTTCAAAAGGACTTCAGAGAACTGCTGAGGCCAGACTGTGTAGCAGGGGAGACCCTGCATAAAGAAGGCCCTGGGGGCCAAAAGGCTCTGAGAGGCCCTTGCATAAAGCTGTAAAGATAAGGCCTGGTTTACAGTGGAGGCTCCAAGATGTTGGAGATGCCAGAGCCATGAGACATCTGCCAAGAAGAGCAGTATACAAGGAGTGCAGTCAGTCCAATAAAGAGATGTTGCAGACAGCAAAATTGGCGGAGCAGAGCCATCTAAGCTCTTTGGAACTAAAGTTCCAGAGATCAGACACAAAGCTTAGGATTTGATGTTTGCCCTGCTAGGTTTCTGTCTTGTTTGGTCCAGTATTTACTATGTTCCCAATCCTCTCTTTTGGAATGGGAATGGGTGTTCTGTATCAATGTATGTTGGAGGTATATAATTAGATTTTTTTATTTTGCAGGGGGTTACAGTTAAGCGTTTTCCTTGAGTCTCAGAAAGACTTTGGACCTGGAACTTTGGAACAGTGTTGAGACTGTTAAAGATTATGGGAACTTTGGAAGTTGAACTAAGTGCATTTTGCATTATGCTATGGCCATAAACCTATGGGGGCCAGGGAGTAGAATGTGATAGTTAGAATGAGAAGTGGCCCATAGGCTCAAGCACTTGAATACTTGGTCAGTTAGTGGTGCCATTTCAGGAGGGTCATGGAACCTTAAGAAGGTGTGGCCTTGCTGGAGGAAGCACACCACTGGGTGGGCTTTTAACCTATCCCCACTTCCAGCTTGCCCTCTGCTTCCTATATGTGCTAGAAGATGTGAGTACTCAGAAAAGTAACTGATACAAATGATAATACGTCCATGAAAATTGATACACTCAGTAACCCAGCCTTTGGTTTTCTCTTGCTGTTTTGAGATAGGGTTTTTACCATGCAGCCCAGGCTGGCCTCAAACTCAATGATCTTCCTTCCTCATTCTCCTTGGTACTGGGATTTTAAGTGTGTACCAACATACCCAGCTCTATTCTTTCTTTTTATGTGTATGATGTATTACCTGCATTTTTGTGAGTGCACCCATGTTATGCAATGCTGCAGAAGAGGGCTTTAGATTCCCCTGGAACTGGAGTTAAGGATGGTTCATAGCTGCCATGTGGGTTCTGGAAATTGAACTCGGGTCCTCTGCAAGAGCAGTCAGTGCTCTTAACTGCTGAGCCATCTCTCCAGCCCCTCTTTTATTTATTTTATTTTATTTATTTATTTATTTATTTATTTATTTTTGACTTTTATTGAGACGGGGTCCCCCTGTAGCCCCAGCTGACCTGGAACTCGCTATGTAGATCAGGCTGGCCTCAAACTCAGAGAGATCCACCTGTCCCTGCCTCCCAAGTGCTGGGATTAAAGGCATGCACCACCACGCCCAGCTTATTATTTTTATTTTATGTGTATTCGAATATTGCCTGCCTGTAGGTAAGTGCACCTCTGTTGTGCAGTGCCCATAGAGGACAGAAGAGGCTGTCGGATCCCCTGGAACTGGAGTTTGGGACAGTTGTTAGCTTCCATGTGGGTGCTGGGATTCAAACCCAGGTCTTCTGCAAGAACAGTCAGTGTTCTTAACCACTGAGCCATCTCTCCATCCCTTTTATTTTTTTTTAAAGGTTATTTTTGGGAGCCAGCAAGATGGTTCCATTGATAAAGGCACTTGCACACAAGCCTAACAACCAGAGTTCAATCCCTGGAGCCCTCTTAAAGGAGGAAGGAAGCCAGGCATGGTGGTGCATGCCTTTAGTCCTTTAGCAGAAGCAGGCAAATCTCTTGAGTTCAAGGCTAGGCTGATCTACATAGTGAGTTCCAGGCCAGCTGGGGCTATAAGGAGACTGTCTCAAAAAGACCCCCTCAAAAAAATGGAGAAAGGAAAAAACCAACTCTACTAACTCTATTGAGTTGTCCTCTGACCTTCATACCTTCACATACACAACAATAAACAATAACTTTTTTGAGGCAATGTCTCATAGCAGTAGGTGTCCTGGAACTTGCTATTGTAGACCAGGCTGGCCTCAAACTCCCAAGATCTGTCAGCCTCTGTCTCCCAAGTTCTAGGGTTAAAGATGTGTAGCACCACACCTAGCCCTAATAAACATGCTACTCAGTTCATCTGACAGGAATGGAATCCATTTAAGAACCTAAAGGAAAGCTGGGCGTGGTGGCACATGCCTTTAGTCCCAGCACTTGGAAGGCAGAGGCAGGCGGATCTCTGTGAGTTCAAGGCCACCCTGGCCTATATAGTGAGTTCTGGGCCAGCCGGAGCTATAGGGAGACCCTGTCTCAAAAAGACAAAAAAAAAAAAAAACTAAAGGAGTTAAGGTTTCATTGATTCTACAGCATACAGCTTTGTGAACTGTTTGATGACCTTTCAGAAATATAAACACTGTTCATAGCATTCCTCTCAGCTGATATTCCTGGAAAAGGTACTGTGTAATTACTTACATGCTGAGTCTTTATGTGATGTTCTCCAACAGGCACGTGGAGGAGTTCACTCCGAGAGCTGTCTATACGAGTGGCAAAGCCTCCAGTGCTGCTGGCTTAACAGCAGCTGTGGTGAGGGACGAAGAATCTCATGAGTTTGTCATTGAGGCTGGAGCATTGATGCTGGCTGATAACGTAAGGACATTGTGCACTGTTGGATATAAGGAAGTCAGAATACCCCTACTCTTGTCAGTAAAGGCCTATAGTTTCTACTGAAAGATGTCTGGGAGGTGTGGGTAAGCTTCTATTAGTACATAATTCAGTTTTATTAATCTGGACTTAATTGAGACTGTCAGCATTAATAGACACTTTCTGAGTGTTCCTAGAATGTGTTGCCTGTGTGTGTGTGTGTGTGTGTTTGCTCCTGCTAGACCCTCCCAGTGTGGTACTTTTCAGTCTAATGTCTCTAGGTCTATGCACAGTTGTATACTATACTGCATGTATATTTGACATTAGATTACGAATGCATGCAAGTTGTGGGTGTACAAGCTTACATTTATTATAGTCATCCAGCACCGTTCACTTTCCCAGCGTAAAATGAATGTGAAGTAATCTGAGAGTCTCTTAACTCCAAAATTTGTCAAGGTTTCAATATTGAGTAAAAGTACATTATCTATATATTCTTAGTTTAACTCTTAGACACTTTTGTTTCTGTTTTGCTCTTAGTTGAAGTTAGTACCATTCTAGTACTGAGTTCTGCCGGAAGTCTTGCTTAAACAGGAATGCTTGCTTCCTATCTTCTACTTACCTAGTGAATGGAACAGTTTCTGTGGTGGCAAACTTTATCATTTTATATCTGCAAGGCAGTTTCTCTTTTTCTAGACTGAAAATTGAACTTAGAAGTCTTGGCCTTACACACTAGGCAAGTTGCTCTATCACTGAGTTCTATCCCTAATTGAACACAGTAGTTCCTCAATGCTAAGTCTGTTTGGTTACAGGGTGTGTGTTGTATTGATGAATTTGATAAGATGGATGTGCGGGATCAAGTTGCTATTCATGAAGCTATGGAACAGCAGACCATATCTATCACAAAAGCAGGAGTGAAGGTATGTGTTCCCTTCCATCCACTACAGCCTGACTTAGCCATGCAGATTACTGTGCTATTAGAGAATCTATTATTTCAATATGTAATATTGGTCTTAAATGGAAAATACAGCCTGAGAGTTTAAGTGCAAAATACAGGTATTGATTAGGGTCCAGTGAAAATATATTACTATGATAAAAAGTAATGGTGCACACCTCTAATCCCAGGCAGATCTCTGTGAGTTCAAGGCCAGCCTGGTCTACAGTAATGAGTTCCAGGTCAGCTGGGGCTACAGGGAGACCCTGTTGCAAAAAGACCCCCCAAAAAAAAATAATAAAAAAGTAATGGTACTAGTGAAATTTTTAGCATTTCTCCAATTTCTTTTTAAGAAATTTAAAATTTTTTAAAAATTGTGTTTATTATCGGGGCTAGTGCATTCAACAATGTGCATGTAAAGGTCAGAGGACAACTTCAAGGATTTAGTTCTCTATTTCCACCTTTATATGAATTCTGGGGACAAAAATCAGGTCACCAGGCTTGCATGACACATTTACCTGCTAAGCCATCTCATCAGCCACATTTCTCAAATTTTCATGAATAAAACTTAAATTTTATGATAAAGCATGCTAATTTTTCACACACACACACAAAACTAGATCCTAGTACCACAAAATACCTCAAACCCAACAGATAATTTAAATGAAAATAACCACAGTGTTGTGACCAATATTAGAGAGAATCTTAACTTAGTAAAAATAATAAATTCGGAAGACTGGAGAGATGGGTGAGCAATTAAGAGCGAGTACTGCTCTTGCAAAGGACCTAAGTTTGGTTCTCTGCACCCACATCATTCAGCTCACAACTGCCTGTAACTCCAACTCCAGGGGTATCCAATGCACCTATGGCCTCCATGAACATCTGCACTTATGTGCATGCACACATACACACACACATAAGTCTTCAGAAATAATAGATTTGTGTAGAAACAGTATGCTAAAATACAAATTAAAAAGAATTCTTCCCTAGCACAGTGGATACTCATGTATGCGTTTAATATATATCCCTTCCAGAAATATCTTAAATACAAATAAACAAGTATCTACAATTATTTTCTCATTTAACTTAAATTTTTTCCTGTAGCTGCACATACTGGATTAACTTTGACTTATTATTAGCTCCTTAACACTCAACTGTATGAGCCATAGTTTGATTTTTAGACTCTATGATAGAGTAATGTTAGATCATTTTAAGTCTTAAATATCACAAAACAGTATCAGAGTAAATATCCTGAATACCTCCTATACCTAGGTAAGGCAAATTCCTAGCAGAGTGCTAACTTAGAGACAGATGCGTCATACAGCACCATGTAGGAGCCACTGTTACCATACTTGAATTTTGATGGTTCAGTAGGTTAAAAAGTGGTTTGTCAGTATCTTTGCTTTCATTTAGTTGAGTAAAATCTCAAGTTTATTTGCCAGTTTGGGTTTGTTTTAAGTCTCACAGTTCTCTCTTTTGGTCAGGCAACTCTGAATGCTAGGACATCCATTTTGGCTGCAGCAAACCCTGTGAGCGGACACTACGACAGATCGAAGTCACTGAAACAGAACATCAATCTGTCGGCACCCATCATGTCTCGATTTGATCTGTTCTTTATCCTAGTGGATGAGTGCAATGAGGTAGGTTACCCACATGAGCTGTTACTTAGGGTTTCCATTCTTGTGTCTGTTACAAAGTTAGTGACCTTTTATGTCCCTCAGGGTAGCCCAAGATGAGGCAGAGAGGTTAGCAAGCAACTTCAAAATAAATCATTTGAATTACTGATTTTACTTAAAAGTGTTGAGAATTAGAATAGGGAGATGGGTACCAGGACAAAGTCTCACAGTGTAGCCCAGGCTGGCCTCAAACTCCCAACTGTCCTGCTTCAGCCTCACAGGTGCTAGATTATAGACATAGGCCAAGTATTTTAGTTTTATTACTTTTTGGTTTGTTTGTTTTGTTTTCTGGGGTTTATTTGTGATAGTGTCTCACTAGGTAGCCCAGACTGGCTTTAAACATGATAGTCCTTCCTCAGCCTCCCAAGTACTGGGATTACAGGCATGGGCAACCACATTCTGCTCCTTTAAGATTTCTATTAATAAATTTTTTAAACTTTGTTGTTTGTATTTATTTAGACAGGGTCTCACTGTGTAGCCCTGGCTGGCCTGGAACACTCACTATGTGGATCATGCTGACCTCAAACTCAAAGATCAGCTTGGCTTTGCCTCTTAAGTGCTAAGATTAAAGGCAAATGCCACCACCCCCTACTTTTTTTTTTTTTTGGAAAAAGACAGGGGGCTGTAGAGATGGCTCAGCGGTTAAGAACACTGGCTGTTCTTGCGGAAGACCCAGGTTCGAATTTGAGTACCCGCATGGCAGCTAACAACTGTCCATAACTCCAGTTCCAGGGGATCTTTTTTTAAGGACAGACCAATTTCAGTTATTGTCAGATTTAAATATTTAACATTATCAGCTCAGATGTGTATAAGAACAGTGATAACATGTAGGCAACTGATATGAGCTCTGTGTGTGTGTGTGTGTGTGTGTGTGTTGAACTCCTGTGTACCCTATCATGCGTGGCTTCATGGGCTGTATTTCTAATTGCTGAGCATGAAGTTACTCTGTTTCAATAGGCACAATGCAAAACCCTAAGTAAAAGCTGCTTCCCCTTATGAATGTTTAGCAGGCTTGGGTTTGGGTTTCTTCCCTCCCCTTTTACAAATGTATAAACATATCTAACTGGATAATTGAGAATGACTGGTTTTCCACACTCCTGTTTCCATATGTGTGAGGTACCTGATTCACATGGTGCCCCTTGATCTCTGCTTCCTCTGTCTACCTACACAATTTTTACAAGGTGATTGTCTTCATGATGTGGCTGAGAGGACAGGCTGAAGCTAGATTATCCAAGCCTGTCTCTACTACTTGAACAGACACTTAACCTTTCTGGGCCTCAGGTGGCTCCTATATAAAGAAGTTAATGCCTACCTTTTTTAAAAATAATTTATTGAGAATTTCATACATGTATATAAGGTGTTTTGATCAAATCCATGTCCACTCCCTCCCCTCCAACTCCTCCCATATCTCCCCATCACTTTTATTCTGATAACTTCATGTACTCTCTTCTTTATTTTTTTTTTGGTCTTTTTTGAGACAGGGTCTCCCTGTAGCCCCAGCTGTCCTGGAACTAACTATGTCCACCAGGCTGGCCTTGAACTCACAAGAGATGGGCCTGCCTCTGCCTCCATCCCTATTCCCCCTTCTGAAGAGGTAACCCTAAAATCTTTTAAGGATTAGATAAAAGCTCCCAAATATTTTTGACACTTTTGGCCTTTGGAACAGTAGATTGCCAAGAGGCCCAAGGACACTGAGTTTTATTTTAGCCAAGAAACTGGCTACTTTTCTTTGGGGTCTTTTTATCCTAACTGCCTAGAGAATTCCTACCTCCTGTTCTTATCACACCATCCTCTGAAGGGATTACCCAAATTGCCAATGGGGAATAGGGATGCAGAACAGGGACACAGGGTAAGGTAATTGGAGTTCCCCTTCAGTGGGTCTATCTAAAAGACTCCCAAATTGCATAACTCTTATCTCTAGGGGGAAAAGAAAGGCCTTGACTGGTGAATAGGAGATGTGAGGGAGAAGTAAAGGCAAGAGTAATTAGCATTACAAGTTCTAGACAAGGAACCTAGAAAAAAGTCCAAACAGGGCAATTATCATATGCTCATCAGAATCCATTGGAATTTCTTGACAAGGGCTTCCAAAAGCATCCCTCTGTTGGGTTCCTCCTCATTTTTCTTTTGTCTGCCAAGGCTGGACTCTAGTGATA